TGGCTTTTAGTGACCACTTAATAAACTGCAGATATTACCATTCCTCATGGCTTCTGGGAACTAGTGGCGATTAGGGAACCAGAAACGTCTAAAATAATTTAAAATTTAAAACACTCATTATAAAGTTACAGTTGTAAAAATGGGGAGATTGTGGGAGGGGCTATGCAGGGTAAGGTGTTGTGATTGAGCATGGTTTTTAGGAGGCTAGTAAAGAGGCCAGAACAATAGACTAGGCAAGAGATAAGGTCCAAAACTAAGAAAGTGCCACAGAATGGACACAACAATGACTATTTAGGTGGCAAAAGGGGCTTTCCAACTAGGAGGTGGGGAAAGAGTTTTTTTTTTTATAGCAATTCTACTACCCTCGGTTTAACATATAGGAAGAGAGAAATTAAGAAGGGACTTAAGCTTGAGTGGGTAGAGAGGAAAGGGGAGGAGGAAGAGATGCTGAGGGAGCAGGACCTCTTAATGAGGAAGAGGAGACTGTGTCATTCATTGCTCTGTGAGTGTTGCAGACAGGGTTGGCAGAGGCTCCACATGGGGCAGAGAGGGCCTATTCTTGTGACTACACTATAGAGGTACTGTATAAGGACTTCTATTGTAACTTATGTTTTCTTTTTCCTTTGGAGGCACCTTTCCCAGGTAATGATCCTAGAGAGAATCCTCAGGCTCTCCTCAAGGTCAAGTGTGTTTGTGCCAAGACACTGAATTGACCTTCTCCACCAAAGGTTCCATAGAACCTCCTCCAAGTGCTCAGATCTCACTCTAAGTCATGGTCACGTGCAGTGGTTTCCAGCCCATAGTTGCAGTGTATGTATCTTTGAGGTTAGTCCTGCTGAGTCTACCCAGGACTAGCAAGTGGTTTCCTACAGGTAGGAAGACACAAAGACAATGAAAAAATGCAGTCGCTTTCTCTGGTTTCTTGGTGTGAGCGTAACAGTTATGTAATGAAGAGTTGGGCAACTGCAGCTTTATTTCTTCACAGAAGGAACCAGGACACTTAACTCTGATAGCTTCTAGGTGATTTTGTAAAATGACTTCTTGTTATCTAGCCTCCTTTTCACCTTGTTGTGAGAGCTAGATAAGGTTTTTTTTTTTTGGTTTTTCGAGACAGGGTTTCTCTGTGGCTTTGGAGGCTGTCCTCGAACTAGCTCTTGTAAACCAGGCTGGTCTCGAACTCACAGAGATCCACCTGCCTCTGCCTCCCAAGTGCTGGGATTAAAGGTGTGCACCACCACTGCCCAGCGAGAGCTAGATAAGTTTTACAACCCCCCTAAAAGAAATTTCTTGGACCTTTTACTACATAGTCACATAACAGAATAAAACTCAGTTATCCTTGGCAGGATATAGTGGTGCACTTGAGTCCCAGCACTTGGGAGGCAGAGGCAGGCAAGTCTCTGAGTTCAAATCCAGTCTGGTCTACATAGTGAGTTCCAGGACTGCCATGTGTATATGCTCTGTTTACTCATGTACTCACTTGGTATTCTAGCATTGTGGCTATTTTTCCATGTCTACGAATGTATCTTTATTAACTTACTGTTCTTTAAATATAGAAAATTTAAATCAAATATCTATTTTCCATCTTTCCTTTTGTAAACATAAAATTGATATCACTTGTAAGACTTGGAAAGTCACTAACACACAACAAAAGAGAAACACCACTATCTCTACTTAGAAGTGAGGCAGTAACTTCCTACAGGATCTCAGGCTTTTCTCTCTTTTCCTTATTTATTGGTTATTCCTGAGTAGCCAGTGCTTGGGGGGTGTTATAGATAGACTGGAACAGAGCTGACACCTTGGTATCCTAAAACACCCCATGGAGCATGCCATGGGACACTGTAAAAAGGAATGGATTATTCAGCCTATTCTTTTGTGTTTTTAATTTCTGAGTCCCTATCCCACCTAAGGCAGTGTGGGTACCATCAGGGTCCTCATCCCACTTTAGAGAGCCGGGTCTCCACTATAGTTAGCCATTGAGTTTTGAGTCTTTGCCAGAGTGTGGATTCCTTGGCAACAACTTATTATTGATGCCCCTAGCAACACACAGCATGCATGATTGGACACAGCTAGTAGTGTGTAAGAAACAAAGTGGCAGTCATTGAAAGCCTTTACCTGGAAAAGGGATGATGATTTTTCCCACTGGGAGGTATTTGGGGAAAAGAGTGATGGAAAGTCTTGCAGTCAAAATAAAGACAATCGAGAAGAGAGGATGTAAACTTTAGATAAACCATGCTGGCTAAATGGTGATACTCAGGTGGTCTTTGCTGAAAGCTCAGTGACATGCTCATCTTAGTACTAAGATCAAGGCAGACTCTACTGTATAAACTTGGCCAAACCATTTTTATTCTGGGTCCTTAATTACCTTGATGTAAAGTGGTTTTATAACTCCCACACACAGGTTCTTAACACATTTGTAGTATGAAGAGTAGGGCTTTGGATACTGGACCTGTCCTATCAGAGTATGTCATATATCTATCTGACTGTCTGTTTCTATCTACCACTATCTGCCTGTTTGTATGTTTATATGTCTATCTGTCTACCTTCTATTTATCTAATCTATCTATCTATCATCTATCTCTCATCATCATCATCATCTACCTCTAACAACTATTACCTACTATTACTTACCTACCTCTTTGACTCCATCAAGTATCTATCTATCTATCTATCTATCTATCTATCTATCTATCTATCTATCTATCTCTTTATCCTGTCTATACAGCTATGCTTCTATCATTTATCCACCCATCTGTCTCATACAGGCCCCAAAGTATTTTAGATTATTATCACTGCCTTGGTTTGGGAGCAGGATCTCCTCACTCACTATGGTTACTAGCATATTTTACACACTCCGGATATTTATTAGTTGAGAGAGTTACAGTAATCTGTGAGGTCTACAAGAAAGAAGTTCTCCCTTTCAGGTTTCCCTAAGTATATGTTGCCATCTGCCCAGATACTTAAGTAAAAATATTTTGATAATTTGATTTATTGAATACCTACTTGGGTCTAAACATTGGGTGAGGGTATGGGGTGGGGAAGGTAGGGAGAATTTGGTGGGCTAGACCCAACCCAGTCTTTGAACACTGTTAGAGGAAAAATGAAGTGGGAGAGAGAGAGTTTGTTTGATGCCCCACTTATCTTTAGATAGAGCTTGTACATGGGGCTTCTAAATATGTTTGACAACACCATTTACAGAAATACTCACCATTTACAACCATCTGCATTGACAAAAAGCTGTCCGCACTGCCCAGTGATTTCCCCATGAATGCTGTGGCTTGGAGTTATCATTCTTTGTGTACACTTGGAAGAAAGAAGATTTGTTTGGAGTACCACTGGGATTCTCCTGCTCTGGTTCATCCTCTTATCAGATGAGGTAAACGTCCAGGAATAAAGATTTCAAAGGCGCAGAGAACATGTCTCTTGGATACACCTTTGGAGGAGGCAACTTACGGCTGAGCTCACTTGCTTATTTTTACAGAGTGTGGGCTGCACTTTATATTCCCATGCCTCTATATAAAGAATGCTTTAGAAATGTCTGACTTTTCAGATTCATGTGAGTCATCAGATTCCTGTTTTAGAGTGTTCATGCGTTCGTGTGTGTGTGTGTGTGTGTGTGTGTGTGTGTGTGTGAGATCAACTCTGGGCACAAAACATGTATATACTTATAAAAATGTGTTTAGAATGCATGTCAGGACTTTTAAAATAAGGAGAGTATTTATGGTGTGTGTGGTGGGCGAATGGGGGGAGAGGAATTGAGAGAGAGAGAAAGAGAGTAGTATAGTACAGGTGGGGGATTCAGTTACGCAGTTACGTGAAAGGCTACACTCTTAGCAACTCAGACAGTGGTATAAGATAATGTGTTAACGGAGGGGACTGTTTTCCTTGCAGACCAGCATACAGGTCTTTGAGGAGCCCTTGACTTTCTTCTTCTTCTGTGTCTTGTTATAAAGGGATTAGAGTCCAATTAAGCCATTTAATCCCAAGGTAGAAATTCATGCTTAAAAACAAGATTTACAGCTTCTTAAAAAAAAAGACATCATTGCAAGTTGAAGTTTGTCCTTTCAAGTTGCCACCTACATGGTTCCAAAGAGTGTTTTAGTGAGCACACAACACATTCTTCTTAATTACCTTGCCTTATACCTCTCCTTTATCTCTTAAAGTGCCCTTCAGCCTAAATAGCCACATGCTGTCAGAAATACTTCAACTTCTCTATTGCTGCAACTCACCTTGGCTTATCCCTTCTTGGCATCTGAGGGCGCAAGGTTAATAATAGCACCGAGAGCAAGTGCTGAGTGGGAGCTTAACATGGGCGGACGTCCTTATACTGAGCGCTCTATGTCCGTTACCTCATTAGGTGCCCACTGTAAGAGCATCCAAACTGGTTACATGCGTGTGAGACTTGTGTAGGCACTCGGGGCCATCGCTTGACTTAATGCACTATTGTTGCCACCTTGGAATTCTTAATCATTTTAGAGCAAAGGGCTTGCATTAAAAAAAATTAAAAGATGCAAAAATGCAGAGATGGGCATTGGACCCACAAATTATATAATTATCCTTACCTGCTTGCTAACCCACAGGTCCTATTGCTTTCTTTCTGTGTTGCCCAGGCTATTGCAGAATATGACAGTGAGTCTCATATTATGCCAAAACCTTGTCTGGAAAGTGTCTACCAACATCTCCTTGGAGGAAAGTTTTCTGATGAACAGGCAACCATGTTTACCACAGAACAGAAAATTGAGAAGTATCTGGGAATTTGGGCAAGTTGTTTAACCCTTTGAACTCTTTGTTTCCTTACCTATATAAGCAGGGATAATAGTAATCATATTTAAGTTACAGGATGCCTAAGGATAAAATGAGATCACAAATATCTCATAGTACACATGGCTTCAGTTAACATTCATGCATTTTGGGTGCCTGGCGAGTACTGAGCATCCAACAGTGCTTGTGACATGGTGAAGTTCTCTTGCCTATCAGCAAGGTACCAATGGATTTATTCCTACCTGTCCTGCAGAGTTGGCAGGGAAGTCTGCCTTGTCCCCATGCTGAGTAAACACAGAGGGGCTGGTAGAGCTGATGAGCACTGGGGTGCTGATTTCCACCATCTGGTGGCCTTCAGGAGAATGGACCATTCGGTTGAGTGTGTTCAAAGCTGTTGTGATGGAGAATTGCCCAGACCCCTTCCTCCTGGACCCAGGGCTCTTTCGGAGGGTGGATGTGTTGGTTGCTTTGCCTTTGGATGGTGAGGACATCAGGGACAGGTTTTTCGTGCGTGATAACTGATGCCCTTTGTTCCTCTCTAGGAGGTGTCTTGCTGCAAGGTTTGGCTGCAAAGATAAAAGGATGGATGAGAGTTACTCTCTGACATAGTATAGAAGCTAAGTTTCACGTTTGTTCTCAGTCACTGCCTCAGATGGCCACCCTTTGGTTGGTGGCTACAATGGCCATCTTTTGGTCAGTATAATAACAAATTCTATCTTTTATCCATTTGATGTTCATACATTTGATAAATTTGAGACCTAGTAGACACACATCCAGGACCTTGACTATATCCTTCTGCTAATCCTGTTTTTTTTTTTCTATCTCAAATACTGCCATCCCTTTACTGATCATTCCTGTTCTTTATCTCTAACATCAGTTGTTCTAGTAAATTAGCTACGGGGAAAAAAAAAACCTAAAAAAGGACGGAAAAGCCCTGTTCTGTGGTGTTATTGATAAACCAACTGTTAACAGCTGGCTAGCACAATTTCTGGAAATGTAACAAATGGTGTTTCTGATCTGGTGCCAGTCAGCCCAGTGCTGTGTTGCTGTGTCACTGTAACCATCCCCAACATCCTACTCAGTACTTCTAAGGGCCTCTGGGGGCTTACAGCCTTTGGAAATATGAAATCTGTTGGAAAAAAATGAATCAACACTTCAGTCTCAGGATGATTAGTTAAATTCCTATTATTACAACAGTTACCAGTTGTTCTCCAAAGTCACACATCTCATTCTAATTTAGAAATTCAACTAGAGAGGTTAAAAAAAATCCCATTTAAGAACTTTTAAAGTGATGATTAAAATAGCTGAGATAGGAAACTTTGAAGAAGAGGTGATTCTTGTCTAAAAAAGCTTGCCACATTGTGAAAAACCCAGCAAGTAGGGGATTAGGGGATTAGTGTTATTGTGTTCATATTTGGATACATACAGACATATATATATGTGTGTGTGTGTGTGTGTGTGTGTGTGTGTGTGTGTGAATAGAGGGCAGATGATAACCTCTGCTGTCATTCCTTGGGGGAAATTCCCCTTGCTTTTCACTGGCCTGGAGTTCACCAAGTGCTTTACTGATATATCTCTCAGTGCACTTAAAATTAAAGGCCATTTCAAAGATAAGAAAGCTGAGGCCCAGAAAGAGTGACATAAATGACAGAGACCATGTGTAAACTAGTAAACAAGGAGCTATCAAATGGTAATGTCTTCCAGTGTAAAAAGGAGAGGGGGGGTGGCCACTTCACACTAGTGGGGAAGCATAAAGGAAGAGCCTCTGAGAAGGTGGTATTTAAGCTGAGACAAGTGACAAGAAAGAGATGGTTGTGTAGAAATGAGGATGTAAACAGGCTGGGTGGAAAGCAGTAGAGAAGAATGGAAGGGAGCAGGTGAGGAGACAGGGAGGAGAGGCCACAGGGTTGGCAGGCACCCTATTGCACAAGGACTCAGGAGGCTTTGACTTATTTTCAGTGTAACAGGAAGCTCCTGGCAGGACTGTGTAGAGGAGTGACATGACCTGATTTATGCTTTTTAAAGCTCATGTTACGGTTTGGCAGTTTCTCATAAACACATACTTAGCATCTGATCCAGCAATCCCACTTCTGGGTAATTACTCGAAGAAAGAAAAATGTATGCTCAAACCACAGTTTCATTCAGAGTTGCCAACAATAGGAAACAACTTCAGTGCCATTTATTATCAATTGATTGACTGGTGATTTATATATGCATGTATGAATGTGGAGGTCAGAGATCACCCTCAGCTGTTGCTCCTCAGGAGCTGTCCATCTTGGATTTTAGGAAGGGTTTCCTACTGGTCTGGAGTTTTCCAATGACGCTGGCTGGCAGGCCATTGAGCTCCCGGCATCTACCTGTCTCCACCTCCCCAGTGCTGGGATGACAAATGTGTACCATCATAACCAGCTTTTTTGTTTTTTAAACATGGGTTCTGGAATAAACTCTGGTCCTCATAATTACGTGGTAAGACTTTACAGACAGAACCATCTCCCTAGATGCCATCTCTGGAATATCATCTGTGATTTGGGACATTTCACTAATAAAGGGATGAGCTATAGACACATGGCACAACACAGACAAATCTTAAATGTGTTAAGCAAAATGAAAGAAGCCAGATCATAAGGCTATGTTCTATGGGGTTCCATTTATAGAACATTCTAGAAAAAGAAAGCCACAGAGGCAGAAAGTAGATGACTGGTTACTAGGTATTGAGAGTCTGTGAAGGAATAGACAAGAGGGTGCAGCCTTAGGGATTTGGGGGGACATGTTGGAACTTTTCTGTATATTGACTGTAGAGTGTTTATATAGTTATATGTATTTATCAAAAACAGAGATTCAGATACATAGAAAAGTAAAAAGCAGGTTTATTCCATATAAATGAAAATGCCATTCTTGATGTTACCCAAAAGTAATGATGAGAAGTAGGGATACTAATTAGCAACATATTGACCTTTTTCTGGCAGGCTTTAGTGGTAGCTTCTACTAAGGACAAGGCTTTGCAAGGCCCCACAGCACCTGCCCCTCCACAATTCACACAGGGGGACAACTGATACCCTTCAAATTGAATGAGTGATTTTCTTTTCCGCCATCTGCAGCTGTAATGACACAGTAATTCTTTCTTATTTGCCCTGCCTGTTGCGCCTCCAGGTGGGCACCATCATCACCTTTGGAATTTTTTTTATCAGTAACAAAGGGCCTTGTGAGAGTCTGACTCTGCCCTTTCCTCCACCTGCATGACTGACAGCTCAGCTGGGGAGGGACTGTGGAGCTCTTAGATTTGCACTCATTGGAAACAATATCCTTGAAGTTCATTGGTCTGGATGAGGTTCATGAAACCAAGGCTGCCCTGTGGAGAAGTCCTGACAGGAATGGGCAGAAGCTCAGCTTTTGTTTAGCCTCCCTTTGTGCAGTTGCAGCTCAATAAATCAAACGGTACATTAACAGGGAAAGTCTTGTTTATGTGCACACACACACACACACACACACACACACACACACACAGAGAGAGAGAGAGAGAGAGAGAGAGATTGAGAGAGAGAATCCATGTTGCCCTTTAAGAAAGCCTTCTTTTCAATTGCGCTGCATAGCTCTGGCAATACAAACTTATTTAAAGAGTTCTTAGCACGAGCTACTCTTAATGAAATTACTGGAGTCAAAACTTTAAGTACTGCTTTAAAAAGCTCAATTTAGATTTGAAGTAATGTTTGAAAAGTAGGCTCCCAATTAGACAAACCACTTGATTATCTTCTTCCTCCCTCCTGGCAATTAGGAGAACAAATGAAGCCATGGCTAGTTTAATGATAATTTTGAGGGTTCTTGTAATTACTAATTTTAGAGGTAAATTGGTAGTGAGAGTATCCAAATGGATAAGCATTAAATACAGAAGTTTTGAAAAGAGTAGTATTCAGAAACGTGATGAAATTAATGCTTACCCCTTCACCCCAAAGCTATGAAGGAGCAGCTCAAAATAATGGAGGAGATCAGGCCAAAGTCTCCCACTTTCAGTGTGTTCAGTTAGGTACCAAGTGCAGGTCCTGGGAGACTTAACATTCCCCTATTCAGCCTATTGTTTCTACTTAGCAAGTGGTTTCACCACTGACCTAGGCACACAAATCAGAAAGTGGAGATGCCCCAGGCCATTTCCTCTTTCCCATATCCTCTACCTCTGCAGTTCCCAAATCCTCATAAGAGGTAGAATTGAATTTGTCAATTTGGTTCCAGCCTAGTGGTCAGAGTCACATCATTTCCTAAAGGAACCATGCAGCAGACTGTTCATCTGTCTTTCTGTGTTTCTTTCCTTTTTTAAAGTTTACTCTTTTCACTGCATCCCAGAAACCAAAGTCTGGGCCTAGTGGCTCACATCTGCAATCAGAACTCTTGGGAGGCTGAGGAAGGTTGAGGCTAGCCTGTGCTGTACATCCAGTTTCAGGCCAGCATGGGATATAAAATGAGACTTTGTCTGAAAACAGAATAAACAAGTCAACTCCAACCAACCAACCAACCAACCAACCAACCAACCAAAAACAATTAGAAAACAGAATAAACAAGTCAACTCCAACCAATCAATATACCAACCAACCAACTAAAAACAACAATCGACCAAACCAACCAAATCTGATGAAGTCACTGATCTCTGGGTCAAATCCAAATTTATTATAGTAAGATGTAGAGGATCTTCACTGTGTATCCCATGTGGTCACCCTTCCTCTGCTGACTTGGAGTGTTGTGACTGGTCCAGCAATGAGCAAGTGAATGTATGTGGGTGGAGCAATGTGACTGGTCCAGCCAATGGGCAGTGAGTGAATATGTGTAATGCTACTTCAGAGGCTCTCAACTGTGAACACACAATCCATTCTCCCCTCCTGTGGAAACCGTAAGGACACATGCTCCAGATGTCACAGCTAAAAGACAGTCTAGGCCTATTAGTGTAGGTTCCCTGGTGGCTGTGAGTAGAACCGCTTAGCATCCTGTGCTGAACATAATAGTGTAGGTTGAAAACGGCATTTTCTTTGTTGAGCCACTGAGAATGTGGGACTGTTTAGTATGCCAGCATCACCCAGTCAGTAATTTACTCCAATTTGTTTCTTTGGCTTAGTGACTTAGTGACTAGTAGTCTCTGGGTCCTCTTGCTTCTATGTCCCCAACCACTTCCTCCTCCATATGTACATACCGAACCTTAATTGCTTCTCAATTGGCTCAGAGGCTTTTGCTGGCCTTCCAGATGATGGTGAACATCACAAGCCTGTAACAGTATCCTCTACTTCACTCTTTGCATCATCCATCATCCTTGTAATCAATTACTCGAGTGCCTGATGGTATGATCTCTGGGATTAGGGACCCATATCTACCCTGTATCTTTAGAATTTAGTGTAGAACCTGATAGAGCAGGTGCCAGTGAATGACTAAATAGATGAGTGCATGGGACAGGGTCAGAGTGAATGGCTTATTTTTGTTCTCACCATCTTCAAATGGATTTTCATTTACTCAATTTAATGCCATAAAAATTGTTGTATTGTTATGGGGTCCCAAGGCCTCACATAAGCTGGGCAGGTAATTTTTTTATGGAGAGCCTGTTCAGCGTTAGCTGGCCTGTAAAGTGTAACCAACACACCTGCCACATGTTTAGAGAAGACAGAAATCAAACAATGTTCACCTGGCTGCTAAAATGTCCTGGAAATTTTTTTCCCCAGCAGAGCCTCATAAAATGAGTGAAAATTGTTCCAGGCACAAGGCAGGTATACCAGGAAGAGACAAAGCGTGAGGAATGAGAATACCTTTGAGTTCACGCAGTAACAGCACAGCTGTTTGGCACTCTCCCTTTACCCTTCCCTCCACTGTTACTTTGACTGGCTGAGTGAAGGACATTCCCAACACCTTGGGAGCTGGACTAGGAGACACCCTTCACTGCAGAACCTGCTTTGGCTTTCATGCATGGAAGAATTGGCTTCTTTTCCCCAATTATGCCTCAGTCCTATTTTCACCACCCTGCTGGAGGGTGGGGACACGTCCTAGTACTTCTTTTTATAGCCTCCGATACTCACTTTTAATACTTTTATGCATGGTAAGCACCCCATGAATGCAGTTAAACAATGAAAACTCTCCCTTGAATTTGCAATGACTTGCTTCAAGGTAGGGGGAGGCTTGTGGCTAGTGAGGTTAGAGACTAGAGGTTAGGTAATTATACTGGAGAAACAGATAGCCTAGCTAGTTTTTTAAGTTGTTTAAAAACAAAAACCCACAGAGGTAAGGCTGGGGAATTAGTTCTGGAGGTAAAGTGCTTGCTGTGCAAAGGTGACAAGCTCTGTTTGGATGCCCAGACCCTGCATAAAAGCTGGGTGTGGTGGCACATTGCCTGAAACCCCAGTGCTGGTGCTGCAGCATGGAGAACAGCAGTGCTTGTTGGCCAGCCAGTATCATCAAAATAGCAAACTCCAGGTTTACTGAAAGACTCTCACGAAGTAAGATGGGGGGCTGTAGAGAATGAAATCTGATGTCAACCTGCAGCTGCCATCGGGAGTTTCACATCTAGTGGGAACTACTCCCAATATGTTAGTATATGTTGGTGCACATCATTGCAGTTCCTTGCCCATTTCTAGGCACAAACATACATTTTTAGAGCTGCTTCCAACTCAGTTCAACTTTGTTTCCTACAGTTTCATTTAAGCCTCCAGTTCAGCAGTGTTGAGTGCATTCCCAGCGTTATGGACAGATCTCTAGAACTTTCCCATTTTGAGGATTTAAAAATCTATATTCAGAGATTGGAGAGATAGCTTAGCAATTAAGAGCACCAGCTGCTCTTCCAAAGGACCTGGGTTCAATTCCCAGCGCCCACATGGCAGCTCACAACTGTCTGTAACTCCAGTTCCAGGGGATCTGATACCCTCACACAGACATAGAAGCACGCAGAACACCAACGTAATAAAAACAAATAATTTTTTTTAAAAAAGAAAATCTATACTCATTCAATTTGTTTTCAACTCAACTATAAATCATGTATTTCCCAAGTACTTCACAGTATTATTAACATTTAAATGGTATATATAAAATTTTTTCTAGTACCATAATAAAGAGTAGGCCACTTGTAGTGGTGCACACCTTTAATCCCAGCACTCAGGAGACAGAGGCAGATGAATCTCTGTGAGTTTGAGTCCAGCCTGATTTACACTGTGAGATCCTGTCTCTCCCCCACAAAGTGAGCCCTTACTGTTGGTTATTTAGATTATTTCTGACTTCACCATTATGTACAATTGCTATGGTGAACATTTTGCATGTTTTGTACCAGAAACTTTACATGTTTATTTAAATATTTCCTTATAGTCAATTATCAGATGTGGAATTGTTAACATAAAGCAGTGCACTTTTTTTTTTAAAGATATGGATAAGCTTGCATTTCGATGTGAGTAAATTTGACTATTTTACAATCCAAGAAACAGAATGGAAAAGACCCATTTCTCCATATCCACCAGAATTGAGTGTTACTGTGTAGAACTTTAGAGCTTCCAGTGAGTTCTAAGACTCATGTTAAATAGGAATTGCCTTCAGGCATCACTGGGGTCACACAGACACCTTGGAGCAAGTTTGAGTGATGGGTAGATTGGAGTTTCACATACCTCTACAAACAGGATGGGGAAGATGCCCACTTTGTCTCCTAGCTTCCCTTCTGCCCAGTTCTCATCCACTCGGCTGATTACTGTGATAATGTCATCCTGAAAGAGAAGGCCTCAAGTCAGCTCTACCCTCCGCTTTCAGGTGATGAACTCTTGCATGGAGGTCAGTTCGTAGCAGGGAGCAATGGGTATATAGCTCTTGACTTGGTTGTGTGGGAAATATTTCTGCCATCCTAAAAGGCAGTGTTAGGGTCACCAAGATTTTCAAGGGGAATGGAAATGATTTGAGGATCAGTGGAACCCAGTAGGAAAACTCAGAACACTGCAATCAACAGCAGAATTTTTGGTTTTCATTTACATTAACTTGCCGGAGAAGCCAAGAGGGAAGCCATAGGTTATACAGCTCTAGCTTGGTGAAGGGGAATGACTTTCATTCCCATTTTGAAGGCTTTTCAGACCTGACTCCATTTTAATATGTCAAAAATAAAGCAGTTTTCATTCAAAATTTCCTTACTACAAAAGATTATATAAACAGTTGCAGAAAATATCGATAAGAAAAACAAGAGGATTCTGTCCACCACAGCGTAGTACAACCACACTGCTAATAGCTTGCCTGACATTTTATAAATACTTTTGTAGTAAGAGAAAAGATATATGCATATAAATATTGACCTAAATTCTGTTCAAGACATACATATATGCATTCAATAAAGTGTATAAATCTTGGAAATGAGCAGAAACAATCAACTATAGCCACGAACCCTCAAACAAATCAAAGTATGAAACCAAGCACCCCCTTTGTGCCTTTTCCCACACTCTATCATCATGACCTCTGGTATTGTCCCCTCATTTTGTCTACTCACTTACTTCATACAAATGATGTCATACTTAATACCTTAGCAGGGACACTTTTTGTTACAAATCTATCTCTCTCCTGTGTGTGTGACATGTACCATGATGTGTGTGTGCAAGTCAGAGGACAATTTGTGGGAGCTGGTTCTCTTCTTGAATCCTGTAGTTTGGGACTGAACTCAGGTCATCAGGTTTGGTAACCAGTGCCTGTATCTACTGAGCCATATCCCTGGCCATCACACCCTCTCTTTTGAGAGAGAGAGAGAGAGAGAGAGAGAGAGAGAGAGAGAGAGAGAGAGAAAGGGGGGAGGGAGAGAGAGTTGCTATGGAACCCAGACTCGATTCAGTGATCCTCCTGCCTCAATATCTCAAATACTGAGATTACAAACATACCACAACACTTGGCAGAGGGAAGGTCTTTGCTTGAATTTGGACATGTGGGTTTAGGACTACCCTAGATTTTTTTCTAATGAAGCTTCAGTGTTCCTCAGTGACAGAATGGACAAAATCCTCTGCTCTGGTATCTTTGTCACACTTTCCCACTGATGTATATGTGTTTTCTATCAGACTCCCACCTCAATGGAAGGCCATTCATTGATCTATCACTTTGTTCCCAGAGACTGAACTGTCAGATGGAAGGAGGGGACGGAGTGATAACTCAGTAGTTAAGAGCACTTGCTCTTACAGAGGACCCAAGCTCAGTTCCCAGCATCCACACAGTGGCTCACCCCTGCCACAGTAACCCCACTTCTAGAGATCCAATGCCCTTTCCCAGTTGCCACAGGTACCACGTACACATATGATACTCATGCAGGCATGTGGGCAAAATACTCACAAACAGAAAATAAAAATAGATTAAAATATATTTAAAAGAAATTGTTAAATGAATGAGTTTAGGGACTTTTACTGTGGAATTGTAACAGTGCCACTTCAAGTGCTTGCTTACATGTTGACCTGTCACAGCAGCAACTAAGAAGGTAACCCCAACTTAGGTTTCTATGAGGGGATTTGGACACCTACAGTATAACAACCTCTAAAAACACAGATTAAGCCCCAATTAAATACTTTCTTTTATAGGTGTTACGATGGTCATGTGTCACTTCACAGCAATAGAGCATTGACCATACAGAGTCCATGTAGTTGAAATTATTCACGCATATT